CAAAAAAAAAAAAAAGGCAAAGGAAAAGTGAATTCAGTGTAGTGAGTCAGAAATGGCAAGGCTAAGGGCAGCTGAGGTCATGCGGGGGATGGGGGGAGTGTCAAGCCCCCAGCCTGCCTCCACCTGTGGTGTGGAGCAAGAATCAAGCAGTTTATTTGGTACAACAGAACCAGATCTTGAGAATAGGGGGGAAGAGTCTTATTGTGCAATCCACATTTTTCTTTGAAGTAACTCTACAAAGAATGCAATGTTGACTTAAGGAAGACTCCCAATGGATGGCTAAGCCTGCTTAAAGATCTGTGTAATCGCTGCTGTGCTCCTGGGCACTGGGCATGAGTAAGAAGCAGCCCCGGGAAAACGAGGTGGCTAGCACAGCTTTTCTAAGCAAACAGGCATGTGGGAGGAAATGATTTGGGGTTGGGGAGGATGGCTGGCAAGAAGGAAGAGAGGGCTTTGAAATCTCTGTTACAGCTACAGGAGGAAGTTACTCAATACCTCTCCTGCTTCCTCCTTCCCAGTTTCCAGTAACCTGGTGGAAAAGGAAAAGATTGTTATCACGTCCTAGGTATCAGGACACTAGAAATGGTTTTGCAAAAATGCCTCACACTTTCCTGTTTCTGAGGTCTCCTTTGTATTAGCAAAGCCTCCCCAAACCTCCAGGTGTCTCACGTGGCTTCTTTCCAGGCCCATGGTTCTCAACACAGAGTGCTGGGACTTCCAGAACTTGGTTGTGTTTCCCCTCCACTTTTCTTGGGTTATGTAAAATGTCTCATAGAACCAGGCTGTGATACTGCCTATCATCAGCAGGAGGCACTCTCTGCAATATGGTGCATACTTGATGGAGAATCCTGGAAGTCCGAGGCTCAGGATTCTAAATCTGTATATTGTTGCCCTACTCTGTCCGCTTACAAGTTTCAATTCTGTTAATAAGTTTGCTCAGCCTGCGCAACATAGGGAGAACCCTGTCTCTACAAAATATTAAAAAGTTAGCCAGGCATCACAGCATGCACCTGTGGCCCCAGCTATTCAGGAGGCTAAAGCAAGAGGATCACCTGAGACTGGGCGGTTGAGGCTGCGGCGGGGTGAGATTGCACCACTGCACTCCAAAAAAAGTGAAAAAAAAAAAAAAAAACTTGCTTAAAAATAGATGCATCAGTATTAGCCAACAACTAACAATGGGAACCCAGATGTTCATCAACAGGAGAACAAATACATTGTGATCTACTCATACAGTGGAATACTAAGCTGCTGTGAAAATTAGCATACTATTGCTACATGCAACATCTTGTATAAATCTCACTAACAACGTTGAGTGAAAGCAATCAGACAAGAAAGCATGTATGAGTGTATACTGCATGTCAGCATTTCCATAAAGTTCAAACCCCGGCAAACCGCATCTATGAGGATTGAAACCGTGACAGCATTTACCCCTCAGGTAGGTAGGTAGGCCAAGGGAGCATCTGGGGACCAGTCATATCTGTTTTTAATTTGGAGGCTGGTTATAAGGGTTAGTTTGTGAGCTGTACACGTATTCACACTTTGTGTGTATGTTATGCTTTAAAAAAAGCACATCTGGCTGGGCACAGTGGCTCACACCTATAATCCCAGCACTTTGGGAGGCCGAGGCAAGCAGATCACCTGAGGTCAGGAGTTTGAGACCAACCTAGCCAACATGGTGAAACCTCATCTCTACTAAAAGTACCAAAAAAAATTAGCCAGGTGTGGTGATACGTACCTGTAATCCCAGCTACTTGGGAGGCTGAGACAGGAGAATCTCTTGAAGCCAGGAAGTGGAGGTTGTGGTGAACTGAGATCATGCCACTGCACTCCAACCTGGGTGACAGAGTGAGACTCCATCTCAAAAAAATAAAATAATAAAAATAAAAAATAAATTTAAAAATGCATCAGTACGAAAGTTCAATCTGCTAAACAGCAACCCTGCTCTTTTCACAGATTGATGAACAGAGTGAGCTGAAAGCTATCGAGAAAGAGAAGAAGGTGACAGCCCTGCCCCCCAAGGAAGCCTGCAAATGCCAGAAAGAGGATTTGGCCAAAGCGTTTTGTGTAAGAATTGAATTTGCATCTGGTGCTAATTGTGATAAGGTTTTATGTTTAAAAGAAAGCAACACAAATCCCTGAACAGTGCTTTGAAATTCTGTGTTATAACCAATTTTGTCATCAAGGTTGGAAAATATTGTTGATGTTGAACGGTTCAGATTCCACAGGTAGAGTATCAGTACTTGTCAGTAGAGCTCATGTTCACTAGGCCCTTACCATCCTTTCAGACACTGTACGCTGCTTCTCTTCAGCCTCACATTTCTTGGCAAAAACATGAAGGGATGAAAGATGAAGTTGAGATGCAGAAAGTAGCCACAGCCCAGTGTTAGAGGTAGCACAGCCCAGCGTGGAGTCCAGCTGTTTCACATCAAAGCCCAGACTCTTCATCATCCGGTATTCCCACCTGTTGTCTTTTATAATCCGTGGAGTTGCCAGGTACTAAAACCAAATTCTCCCAAGTTTCTCAAATGAGTTTGAATTCCTGGCCAGTGCAAGACAAGAAACATTTGCATCGCACACAAATGTGTGTGTGCATGCGTGCGTGCACGTGCGTACTCACCACTACACTTTGGGAGAGCAGATAAAAAGCCCCCAGTAAAAGGGCACACGCTACAATTTCAGAAAGTTGGAAGCCAATGTTTGATGTGTCTTTTCTTGAGCGTAACTCAAGTCTGTTAAAATTTAAGTCCTGTGTATTAGTATTTGGAGAGGGGGAAGAAGTATTTCTTCTCTGCCTAGACATTGTCCCTACCTAGAAAATGAGCTAGATTTTCTTTCACTATTCAAAAGAATCTAGAAATCAGTTCTGTTTTCCCCGTTTTCTCTACCAGCAAGTAGTTTGCTTGTTATGTGCTTTTTAAAAACAAGGACACTTTTGTTGTGACCAGAACAACAAAGTTTCCCTCCATTATTACTCATAAATCAGCTGTATTTAATGAATTTGTTTACAGAAAGAACTTGAATGGTGTTGGGCACAATATAATTGTTTTAGCTACTGTTTCTTTTTTAATTTTTGTGGGTACATAGTAGGTATATATTTATGGGTTCCAGAGATACAGTGTATCTCTGTATGCCTTTGATACAGGCATCCACTGTGTAATAATCACATCAGGGTAAACAGGGTCTCCATCACCTCAAGCATTTATCCTTTGTGTTACAAGTCATCTACTTACACTCTTTTAGTTATTTTTAAATGTACAATTAAATTATTTTTGACAACAGTCACCCTGTTGTGCCAGCAAATACTAGGTGTTATTTATTCTTTCTAACTATATTTTTTGTACCCATAACCCTCTCTACTTTCTCCCAACTACCCTTACCAGGCCCTGGTAACCATCCTACTGTCTCCATGAGTTCAGTTATTTTAATTTTTAGCTCCCACAAATCAGTGAGAACCTGCAAAGTTTGCCTTTCTGCACCTGGAGGTCACTATGTTATTTCACTTAATATAATGACCTCCAGGTCCATCCATATTGTTGCAAATGACAGGATCTCATTCTTTTTTATGGGTGCATAGTACTCCATTGTGTATATGTATCACATTTTCTTTATTCATTCATCTGTTGATGGGCACTTAGGCTCCTTCCAAACCTTGGCTATTGTGAATAGTGCTGCGATAAACATGGGAGTATAGACAGCTCTTCAATATTCTGATTTCCTTTCTTTTGGTTATGTGTCTAGGAGTGGGATTGCGGATCATATAATAGTTGTGTTTTTAGTTTTTGTTTTGTTTTGTTTTGTTTGAGACAGAGTCTCTCTCTGTTGCCCAGGCTGGACTGCAGTGGTGCGATCGCGGCTCACTGCAAGCTCCACCTCCCGGGTTCATGCCATTCTCATGCCTCAGCCTCCCGAGTAGCTGGGACTACAGGCACCTGCCAGCACGCCCAGCTAATCTTTTTGTATTTTTAGTAGAGACGGGATTTCACCGTGTTAGCCAGGATAGTGTCTATCTCCTGACCTCATAATCCACCCGCCTCTGCCTCCCAAAGTGCTGGGATTACAGGCATGAGCCACCGCGCCCAGCATATTTTTAAGTGTTTTGAGGAACCCTCCAAACTGTTCGCTAGAGTTGTACTGGTTTACATTCCTACCAACAGTGTACAAGGGCTCCCTTTTCTCCACATCCAGGATTTGTTATTGCCTGACTTTTGGATAAAAGCCATTTTAACTGTGGTGAGATGATATCTCATTGTAGTTTCGATTTGCATTTCTCTGATGATCAGTGATGGTGAGCACCTTTTCATGTACCTGTTTGCCATTCCTATGTCTTCTTTTGAGAAATGTCTATCCAGATCTTTTGGCCCATTTTAAAATCAGATTATTAGGTTTTCTCCTGTAGAGTTGTTTGAGCTCCTTATACATTCTGGTTATTAATCCCGTGTCAGATGGGTAGTTTGCAAATATTTTCTCCTATTCTGTGGGTTGTCTCTTCACTTTGTTGATGATTTCCTTTGCTGTGCAGAAGCTTTTTAACTTGATGTAATTCCATTTATCCATTTTTGCTTTGGTTGCCTGTGCTTGTAGGATACTATTCAAGAAATCTTTGCCCAGTTCAATGTCCTGGAGAATTTCCCCAATGTTCTCTTGGTAGTTTCATAGTCTGTGATCTTAGATTTAAGTCTTTAATCTTTTTTCTTTTTCTTTTTCTGTTTTTTTGAGATGGAGTCTTACTTTGTTGCCCAGGCTGGAGCAAGGTAGTGCAATCTCAGCTCACTACAACCTCTGTCTCCTGGGTTCAAGCGATTCTCCTGCCTCAGCCTCCTGTAGTAGCTGGAATTTACAGGCATGCACTGCCACTCCCAGCTAATTTTTGTATTTTTAGTAGAGATGGGGTTTTGCCATGTTGGCCAGGCTGGTCTGGAACTCCTGACCTCAGGTAATCTGCCCATCTTGCCTTTAATCCATTTTGATTTGATTTTTATTGATAATGAGAGAGAGGGGTCAAATTTTACTCTTCTGCATATGGAAATTTCGTTTTCCCAGTACCATTTATCAAAGAGATTGCCCTTTCCCCGGTGGATGTTCTTGACACCTCTGTCAAAAATGAGTTCACTGTAGATGTATGGATTTATATCTGGGTTCTCTATTCTGTTTCACTGATCTCTGTATCTGTTTTTATGTCAGTACCATGCCATTTTGGTTACTAAAGCTCTGTAACATAATTTAAAGTCAGGTAATATGATTCCTCCAGTGTTGTTCTTTTTCCTTAAGATAGCTTTGGCTATTCTGGGTCTTTTGAAGTTCCATATACATTTTAAAATTGTTTTTTCTATTTCTGTTGAGAATGTCATTGGTATTTTGATAGGGATTCCATTAAATCTATAGATTGCTTTGGGTAGTATGCACATTTTAATGATACTGATTTTTCCAACCCATGAACATGGAATATTTTTCCATTTTTCTGTGTCTTCTTTAGTTTCTTGCATCAACGTTTTATAGTTTTCATTGTAGAGATTTTTACTTCAAGTTAATTCCTAGATATTTAATTTGTAGCTCTCATAAATGGGATTACCTAATTGATTTCTTTTTCAGATTGCTTTCTCATAGCATATAGCAATGCTACTGATCTTTGTAATTTGAGTTTGTATCCTCCAACTTTCCTGATTTTGTTTATGAGTTCTAGCAGCTTTAGGTGGAGTCTTTAGGTTTTTTCAAATATAAGATCATATCATCTGCACACAAGAATAATTTGATTTCTTCCTTTCCAATTTAGATGCCCTTTATTTGTTACTCTTGTCTGATTGCTCTAGCTAGAACTTACAGTACTCTGTTGAATAACGGTGGTAAAAGTGGGCATCCTACGGAAAAGCTTTCAGTTTTTCCTCATTCAATATGACACTAGTCCTGGGTCTGTTATATATGTTTTTTATTATGTTGAGATATGTTCCTTCTATACCCAGTTTTTTTTAGGGTTTTTATCATGAAGGGATGTTGAATTTTGTCAAATGTTTTTTCAGTATTAATTGAAATAATCATATGGTTCTTGTCTTTCATTCTGTTGATAAGATGTGTCACATTAATTGATGCGTGTATGTTGAGCCATCCTTGAACCCTTGGGATAAATCCCACTTGGTCATGATGAATTTTCATTTTAATGTGTTACTGCATTTAATTTGCTTGTATCTTGCTGAAGATTTTTGCATCAATAGTCATCAGTGATATTGGCCAGTAGTTTTCTTTTTTAAATGTGTCTTTGTCTGGTTTTGGTATCCGGGTAATACTGGCCTCGTAGAATGAAAGTATTTCCTACTCATCTATTGTTCAGAATAATTTGAGTAGGATTGGTATTGCTTCCTTGAATGTTTGGTAGAATTCAGCAGTGAAGCCATTGGGTCCTGGGCTTTTCCTAACTGGAAGCCTTTTTATTATGGCTTCGATTGTATTACTGTTATTGGCCTATTTAGGTTTTGGATTTCTTCATGGTTCAATCTGGGTGGGGTCTGTGTGTGTAGGAATGTATCCATTTCTTCTATATTTTCCAATTTATTGGCCTATAGTTGCTCCTGGTAGCCACTACTGGCCCTTTGACTTTCTGTGATATAATTTGTAAAGCCTCCTTTTTCATTTCTGTTTGTATTTATTTGGTTCTTCTCTCTTTTTTTCTTAGCATGGCTAAAGGTTTGTCAGTTTTGTTTATCATTTCAAAAAATATTCTTGTTTCTTAAGACAGGTCTATTTTTTAAAATGTCTGATTGTGGTAAATACACGACATAAAATTTACCATCTTAACCATGTTTTTTTTTTTTTTTTTTTCCCAAGACATGGTCTCACTCTGTTGCCCAGGCTCGAGTCCAGTGCTGCAATCAAGGCCCGGTGAAGTCTACACCTCCTGGGCTTAATCCTCCTGCCTCAGCCTCCTGAGTAGCTGAGACTACAGGAGTCTGCCACCACAGCGGGCTGTTTTTTTAAATTTTTTGTAGAGCCAAGATCATGCTATATTGCCCAGACTAGCCTTGAACTCCTGGGTTCAGCGATCTCCCCACCTCAGCCTCCTAAAGTGTGAGTCACTGTGCCCGGCCTTAATCATTGTGAAGTGTACATTGTAGTTGCATTAAGTACATTCACACTGTGGCACAGCCATCGTCATTCTCTATCTCCAGAATTCTTTTTTTTTTTTACATTTATCAGTTTATTATAGTTTTTTGTTTTGCCTTGTTTTGTTTTGTTTGAGATGGAGTTTCGTTCTTGTTGCCTAGGCTGCAGTGCAGTGGCACAATCTCAACTTACTGCAACCTCTGCCTCCCAGGTTCATGCGATTCTCCTGCTTCAGCCTTCTGAGTGGCTGGAATTACAGCCACACGCCACCATGCCTGTCTAATTTTGTATTTTTAGTAGAGACAGGGTTTCTCCCTGTTGGTCAGGCTGGTCTCGAACTCCCGACCTCAGGCGATCTGCCTGCCTTGGCCTCCCAAAGTGCTGGGATTACAGGCGTGAGCCACCAAGCCCTGCCAGTTTATTATAAAGGCAAAGGATACAGATGAAGAGACGCATAGGGCAGGTAATCGGGGAAGGGGCGCAGAGCTTCCATGCCCAGTGCTGCTGTGATCATAGCTGTTCAAACATCTCCCTGGGTGCCACTCTCCAGGCACATCCCCGTGTTTAGCTACGTGAAAACTCACTGAATCCTATTTTTGGGTTTTTAGGGAAGCTTCATGACATCATTTCTTCCCCTAGATTATAGGGTGGCACCCTCTCATGGGAGGGTCTTAAGACCCACAGTCAGTAAGGCGGGAGCACATTAGCATCTCCAGTATTCTTTTCATCTTGTACAACAGTCTGTCTCCATTAAACACTCACTCCCATCCCCTCTCCTTCCAGCCTCTGGCATTCACCATTCTGCTTTCTGTCTCTATGAATTTGACTAGTCTATGTAATTCATATGTGGAATCAACAGAATTTGTCTTTTTGTGACTGGCTTATTTCACTTAACTTCATCCTCAAGGTTCAACTTAAAGGTATATCCATGTTGTAGCACGTGTCAGCATTTTCTTTCATTCTGAGGCTAAATGATATTTCAATGTGTGTGTACACCACGTTTCATGCATTCATTCTCCCTCGACAAATTGGTGGGTTGTTTCACCCTTTTTGCTTTTGTAAACAGTGCTATGGATGTGGTTGTACAAACATCCTTGGAGACCCACTAGCGCAGTTCCTTTGGGTATATACCCCAAAGTGGAATTGCTGGATCTGGTAACTCCCTTTTTAATTTTTTGAGGAACAACTACACAGTTTCCATAACAGCTGTACCATTTTACATTCCCAAGACCTATTTTTTTAAAAGAAGAAAATATGTGTTTCTGCATTGCTGGAAGTCCACACTGCAGTTCCATTTGTTGAAATTTAAGACCAGAGTCATCATCATCTTTTCTGCTGTAATTATAGTGGTCACTGGCCTTTTCCTCCTCTCTCTGCCCCATCTGCATGGGGTCTTTGAACAAGTCCCAGCACCTTGGTGGACAAGCCCATGTCCCTGGCCCATCATGGAAGCCACTGCCTTCCAGAGTGGGAGTCTGTACCTTGTTGCCTCATTCCTTGCTGGGCCCATCAGTGAGCTTGTGCCTAACCTCTCCTTCCAGGTGGACTTAAACACTGGGCTGTCGGAGTTCTCGGTGACGCAGCGCCGGCTGGCCCATGGCTGGAATGAGTTTGTTGCTGACAACAGTGAACCTGTGTGGAAGAAATACCTGGATCAGGTAGGACCAGAGGTGTCATTCTTTGCATTAACAAGCATAAGCCAGGGAGGGTGGGGCAGCCATTCCATCTTTCAGTGTTGGTGGAGAGCATCCTTGGACAGCTCCTGCCCCTTTCGCACTGTCCCAGCCAGCCTGAGCATCAACCATGAGCAAATCACTAACTCCCCAGGCAGCCGCGTTCAGGAAAAACAGTGATCACATTCGTAGACAGTTGAGCAGGCCCCGGGCCCCACGCTAAGTGAGTAAGTGAATAAGTAAGCATGCACTTACTAATCCTCCTCCTAATCTGGGCTTTGCACTTGAGGAAGGAGAAGTACAGAGGTTGAAAGATTTCCCCAGAGTTGCCAGGTTTCGCAAATAACAATATAGGATGCCCTACAAATTTCAATTTCAGGCTGGGCGTGGTGGCTCACGCCTGTAATCCAAGCACTTTGGGAGGCTGAGGCAGGTGGATCACTTGAGCCCAGGAGTTCAAGACCAGCCCGGCCAACATGGTGAAACCCCGTCTCTTCTAAAAATATAAAAATTAGCCGGATGTGGTAGTGCCATGCCTGTAATCCCAGCTACTCAGGAGGCTGAGGTGGGAGGATTGTTGGAACTTGGGAGGTGGAGGCTGCAGGTGGGTGAACTGAGATTGTGCCACTGCGCTCCAGTCTGGACAACAGAGTGAGACCCTGTCTGAAACAACAACAGCAGCAACAACAACAACAACAACAAAAGTGAATTTCAGATAGATAAACAAGCAACTTCTAGTATAAGTGTGTCCGAAATATTACAGTGGACATGCTTATACTAAAAAGAAAAAGTTCCTTGTTTATCTGAAATTCAGATTTAACTGGGTGTCCTATAGAATCTGTAACCTGAGCCCAAAGTCACATAGCAGCGAGGAGCAGTGCAGAGAAGTGCAGCCAGGGAGCTGCACCCAGAGGCCCTTCCTTTGCTAGCTGCTGCCATCCATGCTGGCGCGGTGCTGAATGAAAGGCACACAGTCAAATACCTGGAAGCCACTAAGAAGAGGAAAGAGAAAACTGCAATTGACATGGCTCCAAGTTTCAGTCTAGAAGTCGACAGCCCCCGCCACCTTTGCAGGACCAGTTCAGAAAGGCCCAGTGAACAGGCAGAATTTTCCAGGTGCCTGAGGGCATTTAGATGGCCTTAGATCCCCTTTTCCAGCCTTTTGCATGCTCTTGGCCCCATACCTGACATCCCCTTCTTCATTCTCTGGCCCCGGGGCTTCCCCTGGCTTCAGCTGCTTTCCTATTGGCTCTGTGTTTACAGCTTCCTCCATTGGTCGATTCCGGAACCAATCACAGTCCTCTGTGCAGCATCCTCTGTCTCCACTCTCCTTGAGGTCCCCGCCCTGATTGTGGCTCAGTTCTCAGTGTTCTGGGAATGTTATTCATCGATGCGTTTTGGCACCAAAATAGGCTTCTGGGTATGCAGGTTGTTCTGGCTAGCCCAGAAGCTGCCTAAAACTGCAGAACTAAGAGGCAGTGGAGGCTCCCGGAAGCTGGGGTCCAGGGAAGGAGGCTGAGTGTGGGCTGTGAAGGGAGGACCTCCCCTCTGCGGCTGGAGGCCTCTTTGCTCTGCCCTGGCACCTCTTCCACTAGGACCCACTCCCCCACTTCCCCTGGTTGTCCTCCTTCCACTCTGCCCTGTCGAAACCCACTGTGAACATCTCCCTTCGCACCAAGGATCCTCTTCCAGCATCCACCCAGGGTGTTCCTCAGAATGAAATCTCTTAAATTTCTTGAGAGCAGAGGACCTGCTCATTCATCTTATAGCTCGTCGGTTCAGCATTGCATCTGTGGGAATCCTTGTAGGACTGGACGGGAGCTCCTGACGGGCTGGGTTTTCCTGCCCTTGAGTATACAGATCCTTTCTGCACTCCCTTATTAATTCCTTACGTGTGTTGAGTTCCTCCTGCGTGCCAAATGTCGTGATTCTCCTATCTTTCCCCCAGTGACAGGGAACTCATTACCTCACAAGGCAGCCCTGTTCCTCTGCCTCAGGAGTCTCACCATTAGGAATTCTACCTTAACACGACCTAAGCCTCTGGACGGGATGGCAGGGAGGCACTAGGCTGGTGCTCTGAGGAGGTGGCGTCTGGGCAGAGACCTGAGTGAAATGAGAAGAGAAGCAGTGTGAGGATGTGGATGGAGGACGTTGCTGGAGGGCAGGGTGCAGAGGTCCTGAAGGGCCAGGAGCTTGGCAGCCTGAGAATTAAGGTGCCCAGACCTGGTGCATTATTTTTACTTTTTTTCTGAGATAGGGTTTCTTTGCTGTCCAAGCAGGAGTGCAGTGGCACACCACGGTTCACTGCAGCCTCAATTTCTCAGGCCCAAGTGATCCTCCTGCCTTAGCCTTCTGATTATCTGGGACCACAGGTGCACATCACCATGCCCAGCTAACTTTTTCATTTTCTTTTTGTAAAGATGGGATTTTGCTGTGTTTCCCAGGCTGGATTGAAACTCCTGGGCTCAAGCAATCCTCCCATTTCAGCCTCCCAAAGGGCTGGGATTACAGTGTGAGCCCCTGCGCCCAGCCCTTGTTGCTAGTTGAACTCTCTTCCTCATCCTGATCTGTGGTCTGCCTTCTGAATCCGGTTTGATGTGTTTGCATTTCTTTTCAATCCTCTGGAACATGAGCTACCATGAGATGTCTCTGCAATGAAAGGGCAGGTATATAAAATAAAGTAAAAATACTATCAGGAAGTTTTGGGAACAGCTGTTTTAAAGAGGGGGACATCATTGGAGTCCCTAGAGGCTGTGACAGGAGCAGGTTGGCACCAAGTTTGGTGACTGGGATGTGCAGCATTTGGGGAGCTGGTGTGGTGAGAAGAGGACCCTTGGCTGTTCTGAGCCAGGACTGGCATCTTGCTGAAGGTCTGGCCTGGAGCGTCATGGAGATGTGGAGAGGCAAGGGCAAGAACTCAAAGGCAGGGCCAAGGCCGGTGTCTTCAGGGCTTCAGTGTCAGGACGACTCCGGGAGGGTCAGTGGGGTGGAGTTCCAGGCAGAGGAGGACCACTTCATGGGGTGGTCTCCTCAGCCCTCGGTCACCATGGTGTTGACCTGGAAGCCTGGCCTTGAACTGAGATCCCTGTCACACAAGCTTCTGCACAGTAAGAAACCCATTCTGGTCCCTGAGACTAAAGAACGTGCCCCATCCTGTTATTTCCTCTTCAGTTTAAGAACCCCCTGATCCTGCTGCTACTGGGCTCTGCCCTGGTGAGTGTCCTCACCAAGGAGTATGAGGATGCCGTCAGCATCGCCATGGTGAGTTCCCTGACAGCGCTCGGCTCCTGGGCGGGCAGCCACAGGTCTGCTGAGTCTCTGCTTGTAACTATATACAAAGAAAAAAAACAGTTTGCTGTAGGCATGGGGAAAAGGAATGTACAGAAGAAACAAAGGAAAGCAAATCCACGTCCTTCCTTACCCTAATATCAAGGTGCCCTGGTTTATTCGGCCGCCGCTTGCTTGGTGGACACACAGGTGCTTCTGGGTCTTTGCTAGAGCAGTGTTGCAGGGAATTCCTTTCCCATGACCGAAAGCAAATCCACGTCCTTCCTTACCCTAATATCAAGGTGCCCTGGTTTATTCGGCCGCCGCTTGCTTGGTGGACACACAGGTGCTTCTGGGTCTTTGCTAGAGCAGTGTTGCAGGGAATTCCTTTCCCATGACCCTGGGATGGGGGGAATAGAGCCTGGGCTGTGCATATTTGCCTTCCGAAGAACAACACCCTTGATACATTACCCAGAGATAACCACTGAACACTCATTTTTTTTTATTTAGATGAAATTCGCATAATAAAATATTGACTATTTCACAGTGAACAATTCAGTGGAATTGAGTACATTCATGACATGTTGCAACCACCGCCTCTGCCTAGTTCCAAAACATTTTCATCACCCCAGAAGGAAACCCTGTGCTCACCAGACACTCACTTCCTGTCCCCCTCTTGCCAGCCCTTGGCAACCACCCATCTGCCTCTATCTCTGTGGGTTGACCTGTTCTGGATATGTCACAGAAACGGATTCAGACGGATGAGTTCGTGTCCTTTGCAGGGACATGGATGAAGCTGGAAACCATCATTCTAAGCAAACTATTACAAGGACAGAAAACCAAACACTGCGTCACCCACTCATAGGTGGGAGTTGAACAGTGAGAACACAGGGACACAGGGTGTGGGACATCACACACCGGGGCCTTTCATAGGGTGGGGGCCCTGGGGGAGGGACAGCATTGGGAGAAATATCTAATGTAAATGACGAGTTGATGGGTGCAGCAAACCAACATGGCACATGTATACCTGTGTAGCAAACCTGCACGTTCTGCACATGTATCCTAGAACTTTAATAAGAAAAAAATGGATTCAGACAGTACACGACCTTTTGTGTCTGGCTTCTCCTGAGCATATTTTTTTCTGGTTTTTTTTTTTTTTTTTTTTTTTTTTTTGAGACAGAAGGTCTTGCTCTGTCACTAGCTGGATGGCAGTGGCATGATCTCAGCTCACTAACCTCTGCTTCCCGGGTTCAAGCAATTCTCCTGCTAGTCCTCTGAGTAGCTGGATTACAGGTGCCTGCCATCACGCGCTGGCTAATTTTTATATTTTTAGTAGAGATAGGATTTCCCTGTGTTGGCCAGGCTGGTCTCAAACTCTTGACCTCAAGTGGATCTTCCTGCCTTGGCTCCAAATAGTTGTGGATTATAGGCGTGAGCCACCATGCCTGGCCTGAACACCTTTTGATGGCTGTCATTCCCACTCCTTTCTGTTCGTTCCAGCTGGTCTTTTAAAATACAAACACTCATCCACATGATGGAATTTGCTACTTCCAATTAAAGGCTGGTGGTAGGCTGGCGCGGTGGCTCCGCCTGTAATCTGCGACTTTGGAGGCCAAGGGGAGCAGATCACAAGGTCAGGAGATCAAGAGCATCCTGGCCAACATGGGTGAACGCATCTCCACTAAAAATTACAAAACAATTGTCTGGGACGGTGGCATGTGCCTGTCGTCCCAGCTACTTGGGAGGCGAGGCAGGAGGAATTGCTTGAAAACGGGACGGGCGGAGGTTGCAGTGAGCAGAGATCGGCATCCAGCCTTGGGGTTCGCGTGGGACAGGACTCATCTCAAAAAAAAAAAAAAAAAAGGCTGGAGTAAGATCCACATCTGCTATGGTGAAGGGTGTTTGCAGTATGTTCAGTGAAAATGGCAGTTTATAAAAGAATATGTCCATATTATGTGATGCGGTGCCTTAAGTGTGTCTACATAGAAAAATCTAGATGGGTACTCCAAAATGTGCGCTTCTGGGTAGTAGAAGATAGTGTCCATTTTTTCCTCCTCTTTTGGCTAGTGTATTTTCTAAATTTCTGCACTGTGCACTTATTTTGCAAGAAGAAAGGAAATCAATCATTAAAGACAAGGCCCTAGCCTGCCACGCCCCATCCCCCCTCCCACCGAGCCTCTGGCACTGACACCCTCCTCCGTTTACTGTCTAGGCCGTGCTCATCGTGGTCACTGTGGCCTTCATCCAGGTGAGTATTTCCCGAGGTCCCGGTCAGGGTAACCCGGGCGGGACAGGAACTTCATGGAGTCCCCACCTTTGAACAGCACATCTGATGTGCTTCCTGCCAGGAGTACAGGTCGGAGAAATCTCTGGAAGAGCTGACCAAGCTGGTTCCTCCAGAATGTAACTGGTAAGTCAGGGCCTCCCTGGGACTTTTTGCTTCACTGGAGGAGCCAGTGAGCTGGAGGGTTCGGCAAATGTTTGGTGAAAGCTGTATCCTTGGTAGTGTCGGACAAGAGAACCACATCTCCCTGGGAGCTCTAAGGCCTGGTCTCCGCCTGCCAACAGGTTGCTGTGTGTCCTTGAGCATGTCACTCAACCTCTCTGGGCCTCAACTCCATCTTCAGTGTCTAAATCAGGGTGCCTAGCCTGAGGGCCACAGGTGGCAGGAGTGACTCTGGGAAGAGGGTAGCCCACAAAGCCTGTGAAATAGTGTGCAGAACTGTGTATTTTTTCTAGGGAGAGGGTTTGGAGGTTTATTTGAATTCTCACTGAATGGACTCAGGAGAGTAAGATCCAGGTCTTTAACAAGCGGAGCCAAGAGAACATCGGCTGCAGTATAGGGTACAGAGAGAGTGAACTTGAGTAACCGCTCAGCAGCCGCAACAGCCTCTTTCCTGCCCAGACCTTTCCTTGGTGCTGTTGGTTATTGCACAGCTCTTACCAGAGATGTTTAACAAGGAAAGAGAAAAGATTTAAAAATCTACCAGTACCCCATGGCTATTTCTGCTTAGCGTAGCCCTGTGCGATCCAACTTGCAGGAAATGTTCTATTAATATCATCTGCCCTGTCCAATACGACATCTGACAATTCTACTCAAAGTGATAGAAAGTATCCTGTGATCAGCTAGGTACAGTGGCTCATGCCTGTAATCCCAGCACTTTGGGAGGCCAAAGTAGGCAGCCCACCTGAGGTCAGGAGTTCAAGACCAGCCTGGCCAACATGGTGAAACCCTGTCTCTACTAAAAATTTTTAAAAAAACAAAATTAGCTGGGCATGGTGGTGGGTGCCTATAATCCCAGCTACTTGGGAGGCTGAGGCAGGAGAATTGCCTGAACCCAGAGGTGGAGGTTGCCGTGAGCCAAGATCGCCCCATTGTACTCCAGCCTATGTGATAAGAGCGAAACTCCGTCTCAGAAAAAAAAAAAAGTAAAAGTATCCCATGATCTGCGGTGCCTGGGAGCAACTCAGCCCACCCTCTGAGTCTCTAAGACCCATTTCCAACATTTGGCAAACACATGGCAACTCCGTATTTTCTGAAGGATAATTATCGGGGAGAGCTTTAGTATATATCCCAGGTACATGTTGTACAACTGAGCCATGGGGCTGGGGTAGAAAGCCCTAGTGAGATAAGGTCCCCCGTCTCAAAGAGTCAGCATTCAAGGGGGGTGTGTGTATAATACAAGGCGGATAATGACGAAGGACCAAATAAGAAGAGGAGGATACAGAATTGACTCACATCAGAGAGGGCGAGTCCATTGTAGAAGGGCCACAGGAGCAGTGGAAACATCTGGGCTCGCTGGTCAGATGAACAATGCTGTCAGAAATCCAGACATGTGACATCATTAACTGAGCAAACGGAAGCATAAATGATTTATGTGATTTGATGAACCGATCTTAAGCTTAAATATCAAGTCTTGGCCTTTCAGGTGAATAGCGTGCATTATTAATGTTGCCCGGGAGGTAGCTTCTGAAAGACGGTTTTATTTACACACACAGCGGTGTCAGGCAGCCCGGTAGAGTTGGAAGAGTGCTGAGGAGGTGAAGCCCACCCTCTGAGTCGCCGAGACCCGTTTCCAAGTCAGGGGAAACCCTGCCGTGCGGGACCCCTCCCTGTGTTACTCCATCCGTGATGCAGGCATCAAATATGTATTGAGTACCTACTGTATGCCTGGGGAAAGGGCACTGAGGTTGTATAAGTGGAAGAAAGGGAGAGGCCTCGGCCTCTGGGGAGCTCACATTCCTACCAAGGGAGTACATAATCAGCCAATGAAGAAACAAGATGATTTTGGAATTGTCCAGGTACACGAAAGCCAAAAAATGCCCAAGGCCACCAAAACAAATAAATCCCACTGAGATGTAATAGTGGCTGGTGGAAGGGGAGGACAACCCTAAACAGCTGTCGATCAGGCTGACATTTAGAGAGGAGGTGACATTTAAGCTGAGGCCTGAGGAAGAGGAGCCAGCTGTGGGAGGTGCTGAGGGAGCAGCAGGTATATCTCTGGCAGGTGCTCTTGGCTGCAAGGAACAGAAAGTGCAAGTGCACAAACCCTAAGAGAATATATTGTCTCATAGCCAGGGGTCTGAGGTGGGAGCGGTGGGTTCCTTAATGCAGCAGAGCACCCAGGGCCTGGCCCTTTCACCTCCTTACCCTGCCACCTTGAGCTTATAGGGGTTGGATTGGTTCTTGGCTGGCTCTCCTCATGGTCCCAAGGCGGCTGCCACAGCTCCAGGCATCACAGCCAAACACGCAAAGGCCCTATAGAAGAAGGGGTGTGTGTGTGTGTGTGTGTGTGTGTGTGTGTGTGTGTGTGTGTGCGCGCACACGCGCACATGCACATACAGTAAGGAAATCTTTTCCCACAAGCCCCCAGCAAACATCCACTCACGTCTCACAGGCCAGTGTCATGTGATGTGCTGATGCCTAAGCCAATCAAGAGCAGGGGTCTTAGCCAGGCATGACCCACTCCCCGGGGCACATGGCTGTGGGGAGAGCGGGGATACCTGAACAAGATCGCATTCCATTAACAAGGAGGAGGGGAATTTCTGCGCCTGGGTTTGAGGTCTGCATAAGCCCCTGAGACCAGAAGGAGCTGTGTGTTTAAGGGGGCTGGGTGGAATGAGATGGGAGCTGCAGGAGGCTGGCCTGCCGGTTCACTTAATGCAGCAGAGCACCCAGGGCCTGGCCCTTTCACCTCCTTACCTGCCACCTTGAGCTTATAGGGGTTGGATTGGTTCTTGGCTGGCTCTCTCATGGTCCCAAGGCGGCTGCCACAGCTCCAGGCATCAAAGCAACACGGCTAAAAAAAGTCACCTATAGAAGATATAGGG